TTACCAATTGGTTTTGGGTTGGAACCTGACTTGGGCTTGATGGTGTGGGTTTGGGCCGGTCAATTTGCTCATTATTTTCCCTGCAAGAGTCTTTTCACTTGAAAAACTAGCTTCTACATTTTCAAGTAATCATCTATGGAAATCCCTTCCAAGATTGTCTTAATCTCCGGTATCCGAGCCACCGGAATATGTACATAAAATTTGCTCCAGTCAAGAACATCACTAAATGGCAGAACGTAGCCATTGGAAATGATCATTGGTACACATCCGGCGTGCATGGATTCAATCAACCTCGGACTTGCCACCTCCCATCCACCTGGACACAGGCAAAACTTGGCTTGACCTTACGTCTCAAAATAGCTTAAATTTTTCGGCAAGTATTCATGGACTTGAATGTCTGAATCCTTGTCTTTCTAATACTCGAACAATCTTCTTCTAACGTGACCATGAGGTCCTCCGGCGAAGAAAGCAAAAATCGGACGATGATTGGTGGAGGCCTGCCTAACATCGGGTGGTCCCAATGCTTTCGAAGGGACTTTAATTTCAGGCAATGAAACATCTCTTGCTGGCTGGAAACCTTGTAATATTGGCATTGCATAACACTCTGATAAGGTTTTTATACAACTTAGGACTGGCAGTTGAAACATCTGGTCCTTGAAATATAAAGAATTAGTGTTCAATCCGTCTCATGAAACATTTCGGAACTGTATAAGAAATAAGATTTTAACTTCATCCTTCTGTTCTTCTTGTACACACGAAGTATGTAATCTTACCCAATCATGACAACCCACAAAGAAATGATCAGCTCCAGCGCTTCTGTTCCAGTACGGATATCTATTCGATATGACACTTATATAATCAGTAACGACGCTTTGGAGGCACCAGCGGTCGTAATCCAGTCGGGGAGTGTATAGATATCGAATAATCTTTGCAATGCCAACGGGGATGAAGACGGTGTGCGCCTCGTCAGGGTGGCGTACAAGAAACGGACTCTTTCCATTCTCTAATTTGTCGATGAAGTGGCCTTCAATAGCATAAATGTCTTTCAAGGGTCCTCTGTGAAACAATGGTGGCTCTCCTTCATTATATACCCACACTTTGAACCTCTTTTCCATCTCAACGTGGCTCCTAATGTATCATAGTCATAGATTATGTTTAGCAAATCAGGTGCTTAATTTCTACAATTTTATGTTTGTTTGTCAACAAGATTAGACAATATTTAAGGAACGAAAAAGTTAAAATATTGTCTATGTTATGGGGTGCCTCTCACAAAGGGGGTCGCAATGATCAGGCTCGAATGACTGTTTACCAAAAACACAGGTCTCCACAAAGTTGTAGGACCGTGTATGGAGGTTGACGCCTACCAGTGTCTCAAGGTCAAGGAAGTTGGTTACCCTATTAGCTTATTATTATTTAGCACGGATATAATTTTGGATATAAGTAAAACAAGAACATCAATTATGAAGAAAATATCAATGTTTTAAACTTGCTAAAAAAAATGTGAATCGTCAAAGAGGTAACAAAAATAATTAATTAAAAGTATAAGTGTATTCGATATAGATTTTTAAAAATGTTCTAAAATGCACTAACTTTTAAGTAAAAAAAAAATAAAAATACAATCACATATTAGTGTCTAATTCACCCCAGATTTTAAAAGACTTTCAAAAGAATAAAATATATATTTTTTCATCATTTTCCCCTTTCTTATTCTATGAAAAAAAAATTAACTTGTAAATAAAAATTCTTAAAAGATTTTCCATTCTCTTCTTTTTCAAGGTTTTCTTCAATTTTGCTATAGGGAAAGATCAATTTATATTGAAATTTTATGAAAAATAAACTAATTTGTAATCAAATATTTATATATTTATTTCTTGTTTAATTTAATAAATTTCTAATGGTTTGAACATTAGAGATGTCTTATTCTTTTCGTCAAAGAGTATTGAAATCTTATAAAAAAAATTATTTTGCTGGTTTATTTTCCTAATTTAGGTGACTTATATATTTTTTTTATTCTTTTAAATAATATTTTTACTTACACAAGAAATATATTTTGATATTGTTGTGGATCATTTGTTTAAGTAAGTAATGGTTCAAAAGGATCTACAATAAGTTATATATAAGGTTTTTTTTTTTTTTTTGTTTAAAAAAAAAATTAATGTCAAATAATTACATAGACTTGTGAAAACTTTTATGGATGTTATAAAAGTCAAGAAAAGTTTATTGAACTCTACAAAAGTCATTTATTTTAAAAAGTCTTTTAAAAAAGTCAAATTGAATACGTTCACTAGTCGAGGTAGGAGGCCAAATTTTTAGGTCTTTTGGAAAATAATTTTTTAAAGCTCTTTTAACCTCTATTTGACATCATTTACTTACTGGATTTAATTTATTTCTCATACTCATTTTCAATTATATTCACA